CAAGCGGACCACGAAATTAGTGAATTTAAAGTAATTGATATCATTGATGCAGTTCTATGCTTTTAAGTTCCAAATAGGGGATTCGAGGTCAGTCTTTTGTCTAGATAGAGCCCTAAGTAGTGGAAGACGTTTTCTGATGGAAGGGTGAGGTTATAATATATTGGAGGTACAGTGCGACGTAGAGTGAAGGTTATATTTTGGGACATTGCAGTTTTAGCTCCTGACACTGACTTTTTTATCTCAACTAAAAATCTTAATTAATTGAAAGATATTAATTGGTCAAGCGGACCACGAAAACTAGTGAATTTAATATATTAAAATGAAGTATATCTCCACTAAAGCTCTCCGTGGCCATTTCATTTGTCGCCGAGAATCAAATAGATTACTGACATTCGAAAAATGGCAAAAAGGAAAATTCGAAAGATTATAGGTTGAGATGGGAATTAGTGTTCGAGTGGATCCAAGTCACGATAACTGAAGTGGTAGATTAGCGGCGTATCTAGCTGAAGGTTGTGGGTTCGAATCCCCCTCGTAACACTGACTTTTTTTATGTTAACTAAAACCTTTAATTAATTGAAAGATATTAATTGGTCAAGCGGACCACGAAAACTAGTGAATTTAAATTGTAGGTTTCTTTGAGTCGCATTTATTTTTTAACTAATGTTCAACAGGTTGGAGGTGTCGGGCTGGGAAGATACTTGCGGAATGAAAACTTTTTTAAGTGCGGAAACGTATAAAATTATAGACAGTTGTTCTTCCTTCGGTGATTGCTAAGACCATGTAGTCATCTTAAAATTATCAGTAGCAGTAACCTACACAGACGTCTATGCTTGTATTGTATTGGTGACTTGATGGGATCTTTTTGGAACGCTTAATTCTTTAGAATCTCATTGTACTTGGTCGAACGTTTTTGTACATTAGCCAGAGCAGGGTATATTTTGAGTACATATATCTTTTTTTTTTTGGGGGGGGGGGAGCTTGGAAAAGCAAGAGTGAAGTAATCGAACCCACGACTGCGGGGTTGACGAGCTGAGAAAATAACACGCTGGCCACACTTCCCCATATCTTTGTACTTACTCTTCTATTTATTTTTCTTGTTCGCTACACTGTTTATCCTACTGAACTGCTCTCCTGGAGAAGCTGACTGCTGTCTTTTTTTATTGGAGCGGTCTGACCTGTTTTATAATGAGTTTGTCGTGTTTTACGACAGCATAATTACTCTACCGTCTTGCCTCAAGCATATCAGGTCGTAAGGTCTTTTTGTTGTCAGGATATCGTGAGGATAATTTTGAACTATAGATATTTTTGAGCCGCAGATTGCATGCGTTTTTATGACTGTTAGATTGTGATAAAGATCCACCAATAACCTTCTTCTTGATGTTGGGTTCCCTTGTAATCCCTTCATCCAGCCACTGTTAGATTTACCTTTAGCTACACAAGTTTATTTTTAATTAATTGGCAAATCAGGTCCACCAAATCTACAGAAATCAGATCATGTTCGTCGATGCCAAAAATTATAATTTTTCTTTAGTTATTAAACAAGACTTGATGTTAAGTTGTTAAATAAATTTGTTTCTATTCGATTATGAATACATTTTTGTTTTATTTTCATTTCACCTTCTTCTTGAGCTTTCTAAGTTTTTGAGTTATTCTCTCTCTCTCTCACACACACACACACACACACACACCCACACACTTTTTTTCGCCGACGAATGACACTATTCATTTAAGGGGGAAACACCGAGTTATCTTTCACTACATAGCCGGTTTTGTTTCGAAATTAAGTATTCTTGTGTCAACCACATATGGCCGATTCTTATTCGGGTTAGGTGATCCCTTCCACTGACGCGCTTTTCTTTTCTTTTTTTTTCTTTGTTATACTCTTTATTACTCGTTTAGCGTCAGCGATTCGTATCCAGATAAGATTTGGTGGATGGGACGTCCTGGTTTTCGCCGCCTCGTTGCTCTTCAGCCCACGTCCGGTTACCCAGACAACTATTTTCCGTTTTCCAAAAAAGCCCAACTCAGCGTGCGTACGAACAAAAGCACGACAAAAGGAAAAGGGTCCACCCAAATCTTTCCGGCTCAACCAACTCAGGGTGTCGGTGCACATGAGAAATTACAAATCCTCAAGGATTGCATGACTCCAAGAGCGTGTTATTGCTTTTTCTTTTTATTTGTAACATATTGTTTAAAAGGCAGAAAGATACCGAAAAATTAAAAACAATTTTTTTATCTAAAAATTATCATTTCTGTAGGTTTGTACAATAAAAGAGATCATGCCTATTGTCAATAAAATTTATTAACGTACTTATTTATTTGATTACCCAAGTTTGATGACTTAAAGAAATAAATCTAGCTTATTTCAACCTATCACACGGGAAGGAGTTTGTCAGAAAGAGCTATCCATTAAATACTGTTCGATCCCAATCCATCAGATACGGATGATTTTGATGATGAATGTATAAAATACCAAATTTATGGCATTCCATATAGAAAAGTTCAAATGGAAGTTGTTTTTTGTAAGTATGAGGGTGCCAGTGTTTTTGAAAAAAAGCCCATTTGTAAGTATGTCGGGTTCGAATGCAGGGCCGCTGGATTCGAACCCGGGACCTTCACCTTGCAGTGATGAGCGCCGTGTCAACGCCAAAGCGGTTGCGGCCACCGACGCCCCATTCTCGCTACGTCATGGTCAAAAATACATGTTTTGTCAACTTTTACACGTTTAATGTTTTCTGTAAATTTTGTTTAAGCTAAATGCCCGGGAATGTTTTAAATATTATATGTAATATTATTTGTTCTACAAAAGCCGTATTTTTATGCAAAAAAAATAATAAGTGAAATAAAAAATTTAATAATTGCCTCAAGTTCCACTTTAACTGTATGTATAAAGCGTTATGTTTTCAGTCTTCTGAAACTCAAATTAGCATATTTTTAGCACGTTTTGTACCATGAAAAAAGGACCCACAAATATCCGAACCGTGCGAAAAATTACAATTCTCTTTAGAAATTAGAGTGGTTTCTAAATCCACCAATCATTCAGTAAAAAAAGAAATTCGAAAAATTTAATTGGAAAAAATATAACAATTTAATTTTTTCGTTGTTTTTATTTCAAACAAGACCTTAAATAAAAAAAGAATAATTACAATTTATTGTTTGATTTTGTTAAACCCAACTTTAATTAAGAACAATCAGGTAGACCATAAATTGAACCTGTTGAGTACTGAATGAAAACTTCAATATTTCCGTAACAAATCGATGATTTTCGGAGTTTCTGGTGTCNTTTAGAAATTAGAGTGGTTTCTAAATCCACCAATCATTCAGTAAAAAAAGAAATTCGAAAAATTTAATTGGAAAAAATATAACAATTTAATTTTTTCGTTGTTTTTATTTCAAACAAGACCTTAAATAAAAAAAGAATAATTACAATTTATTGTTTGATTTTGTTAAACCCAACTTTAATTAAGAACAATCAGGTAGACCATAAATTGAACCTGTTGAGTACTGAATGAAAACTTCAATATTTCCGTAACAAATCGATGATTTTCGGAGTTTCTGGTGTCATTGTTTTTACAATAAAAAGGACATTCAAAATGTGCAAAAAAAATTCATTCTCAAAAATTCATTGATTTCTTCTGGATATATTGAAATTTTCCTTCAGATCTCGATAATTTCAATTTTTCTTGGAACTGATTGTTGTTATTTAAATGAAGGCTTAAAAAAAGTACAAAAATTAAATTATTATATTTTATTCAATTAAATTTTCAGACTTCTCTTTGTTCTTTAATCAACTACACGATACATTGAAACTACCATATTATGAAAGAAATCTTCAATATCTCCAGAACAACTATAAAAATTGTTGAGTTTCTTGGTGGAATTTTTTTAGGGTGGAAATGAATTTCAAAATGTGTGGAAAAAATTGAGACCATACTTATTTTTCAATAAAATAGGCAGAGTAAAAATAAAAAAATTATGTCTTTTATGAGAATCGAAGAACAATCAATTCCACAAACGTCAACTTCCAGCGATTAGTTCACATTAATTAGTTGACTCAAATGTTGACAAATCGAATACTAAAAGATTAATAATAAAACTAAAGGCGAAGTGGACAAAACACATTCAATGGCCACACAAGCAGCTTTTAAAGATATTAACATACCTACCTTTCTGTTATATCAACTTAATAATTTCTACGTCGTTTCTAGCAATAATTATTCACATATATGTCAGACACAATGTTTAAAAAAATTAAAAATTTGTACAAATTCTCATCTGTCCCATTTTTCCTATTAACTCAACGTGTATCGTTTTATTACAAATAAAATGATAAATGTGATATTAGTGGTCCTTCTAGGACAATTAATTAAAAGTTTAATGATTATTCGAAAATCATGAGATGCGGTCTGATGTGATGTAGGTTTCAGAAAAACATTTTCTTTATCGTGCCAACGTTTCGATCTTTATTGAGATCATCTTCAGGGCCTGATATTTACAAACATTGTTTACATATAACAAATACATGTAGGATGTGGAAAAAAGTAAATTTATACAATGCAAAAAAATATTTTTTTTAAATTATATTCAATCAAAGTATTTCTACTCACTCAAAGTGCGTAAGTGTGACATTCTTGAATGTAATTTTTAAAAAATATTTTTTTGCATTGTATAAATGCACTTTTTTCCACAACCTATATGTATTTGTTAAATTTAAACATGTTTGTAAATCCCAGACCCTGAAGATGATCTCAATAAAGATCGAAACGTTGACACGATAAAGAAAATGTTTTTCTGAAACCTACATCACACCAGACCGCATCTCACGATTTCCGAATAATCATCGACTAATGATCACTAATCACCACACATTTCTAAAACTTTAGTTTTTATACTAAATTTATAAACCAAAATCATCTTTGGTTTGATTCCATGAAAAATAAAATAGTCAGAAACAAAGTCCTTTGGAGCGATTAAAGGTCAACATAATAAAAACAATAGAATTTGATAAAACAATATATTTCCATTAAAAAAACGTACAAATTTAACATAATCGATATGATCAGAGGGCAGATCCTGTCATCGTGATGGCAAATATCCCTCTTTTATCCGCATGCTTATATGCAAAGGTAACAAAAACAAAACACCGTAACCGCAAGGTAAGAAATATCCAAGAAAAATCCGAATTCGACTAGTATAAGGCTGAATAAAATTCAATCGTGGCCGTGTTCCATCCTGCAGCTCAACTTTCTCTTTCTGAAAAGAAAAGCATACATGAATAAATAAAAAAAATGATAATGTGATTATAGGAACTTTTATAGAAAATTCAGTCGTTAATAATGTTATAATTTTGTCAATAGTTAAGTTTGTTATTAATTTACAAGATAAAGATAATATAATTAGTTCATATTAGTACGTGTTTTCCTGTGAATGTGTGTACCCGCGTGCGTGTCTGTGTATGTGGAGTGAGAGAGGGAGGGATGGAGAGAGAGCGAGAAAAATATCTATAGTAACAATTTAAATAAATATTATTCAAATGACTATGAAAAAGTAATCAGCAGTCATCAATACAGTTTAAAAAAATTAACCAATTAAAATACTGTTGTAAGATATAGATTAGATTGTCAGAACGATATGGGAATGAATGTTGGTACTGATGCTACCACAGAGCACATAAGGGTAGACTGATTAAAAAGTTGAAAGATACTTAGATCTAAGATGACTTCAAAGGTCTTATTGCCTGTTAAATAATAAAAATAAAATTGTACCCCTTCAAATCGTAATTATATATAATTATTTAATACATACTTATACATATAATACCATACGAAGTGCCTAATTTTGTATAATTTGATATATTATTTAGGTTTAGGCACGCGATTTGTTGCATCCGGTCATGTCTAATTATAGGTTAGTATAATTTTTTTTTTAATTATTGCTTTCGCGATTTCGCTTAGATGGTGAGAGTGCCGAGTCATATTGATTAAATCATGAACACAAGTCAATAGAAAATATTTTTTAAGTGTGTGGTGCTTCCTTCACGCATCTAGAAGTTGATTAAGCACTGCTCGTTAATTTCAAATTATTTAGTCAAAATGTTTAATTAATTAATTTAAATTGAAATAAAAAGTATAATGATTACAAGACGATAATAGAGAGTTAAGAGAGAGAAAAAGAATGAAAAAAATAACGAAAGTACGAAAAAGACAAAGTGTGAGAGAGTGAGCGAGCGAACGAGCGAGAGAGAGAGAGAGAGAGAGAGAGTGAGAGATAGAGGACCAACAAACAGTTTAACACCCCTCTATCTCTCATCTATTAAATTTGGGTGTGTCCGTGCTCACATGTGTTATTTGTGTGTCAATTCACATACAGTTAACAATATTTGATTATATTTATTTACAGCACCTTGCAAATCTTAGCATATTAATGAAAAACTTCTCCAGTGGTTATTATCGTCATGTCATTCTCCTAAATAAGAGGTGAAATACAATTTTTACAAAAGGCATTTTAAAATGCAGGATGTTTAAAGGGGTTTAAAAAGATAAACTGACAAAAATGAGCAATATCTAATGTTCAGTTCATATTACAAATATGAAATTCGAACGGAATAAGTTTTTCCTTTTTCACGCGAGGCATTAATTTAAGAAAGAATCTTTCTATTGTGGCTTAGGTGCGCGTTTGGCTGACATCTGATAAAAAAATGGTCTTTTTGTATAATAATTTCAAAGCGGAAATTTCAGCCTGATATTACGATTTGTATTTTAACACCGACCGCTTTAAGCTTAGATCAGTTTATTGTTTTTATTATTATTGTTTTGTTTTTTCATCGACGAAATGGTTCACGTTTTACTCGTTTCATGGTTCTTGAAATGCAAGGATATCGAATTTGTCACATAGCTATGCTGGTTGAACTTTTGCTAAAGAAATTTTAAAGCCTATTTCATCATATATTTACATACAAGGGCACTTAGGCTAAAGTGAAAAACAAAAGACCATTGAGAGAAGAAAAATATTTGAATAACTAATTCGAGCTTTTAACCAAAGTTTTCTCCATAAACTTAACATCTTTATATGAATTATCTTTTCACTATTGAAGCAACAAATTCTAACGTGAAGCAGACGATGTATTACAAATAGGATTGAGGTCGATAATGTATAAAAAAAAGTCCTTTCCTTTCGAACAGTTGATAAAGGATGTGGACACTCCACCAGTTTAGCCAGCAATCACGGATTACAAACTGGAACCTAATACAAGCTTACTGACGTCTGGTAAAAGGATGAATCAGTCCTGGGATTGGTGAAGAGAGGGAAAAAGGTGTCGAAACGGTCCTTCGAGTTTCTAGAGGCCATCGAAGCGATAGCGCCACAAGTCGAACCCGACCCAGTATTCCCGCCGTCCGTTCAACCCGCCAAAAAAACCCAAGGGACACGATAACTTTTGGTGGATCATTAAATCTTACTCACATCTTTTTTTATCACCAGACTGATATTTTTCAATATTTCGGTGCATTCAAATATTCGAGTTTTCATCTGGAAATATTACTAAATAATTATAATCAACGATACATTGTGAAATCGTGCAACAACATATTGATGAAAAAGTACAAGCACAATGCAAAACATAACATATGCTCCAAATTATTCCATCTATTAAATCTATATGTTCTATCTTACATAGATTAATATCTTATATCTTCTATCTTTCTGTGTATTATGTAGATATTTTTATAATTTTTAAAGCAACATATTTTACTACATTATAAAAAAAGTTCATGTACTAATCAGACATTGTACAGTCAGATATAATAATATCATTCTATTCGATGTTTCTGCCAAATTCTTTTGCTTTATCAATGAATACCATTTTTTCCTTTTTAAAGCGATCAACCTCACTTTTACGTATTCTTTCTTTTTGTTCGCCTGTTTTGGCATCTTAACCTCTCTCTTCTGGGTGATATCTCCTTCTCTGTCACCATTTCTTTCAATATTTTTTCTCGCATTTGCTTGTCAGACTCTCCACCTAACTCTTCTTCTCCCTTAACGCCCACTTTTTCTCCTTCCAATTATCACTCGATCACTAATCTTTCATTCTCACCCTCTATTTCTTCCTCTCTCTTACTCTCTCTCTCTCTCACTCTCTCTCTCTCTCGCCACTATCTCTCCCACTAGTTTTTCTCACTAACAAACTCTATTTCTCTCTTCAATATTTTTCTCGTCTTTTCTTTTCTTTTCTTTTTCACTCGATCACTAATCTTTCATTCTCACCCTCTATTTCTTCCTCTCTCTTACTCTCTCTCTCTCTCTCTCTCTCTCTCTCTCTCTCTCTCTCTCTCTCNACTCGGTTTTTCTCACTCACAAACTCTATATCTCTCTTCAATATTTTTCTCGCTTTTTCTTTTCTTTATTTCTTCTTACTTATAGACTGTATTGTTTCTTAGATCACCCTCTCACTCTCTTTACTATCTCCCCGTCTCTACCACTCATTTTTTCTCACTCACAAACTCTATTTCTCGCTTTTTCTTCCCTTTTTTTCTTCTTACTCACAGACTGAATTGATTCTCAAATCACTCTCTCTCTGTCTCTTTCTCTATCTCTTTCTCTCTCACTCACTTTCTCTCTCTCTCTCTCTCTCACTCTCTCTCTCTCTCTCGCTCTCTCTTCACAATCTCCCCCGCTCATTTTTCTTACTCACAAACTCTATTTCTCTCTTCTATATTTTTCTCCCTTTTTTTCTTTTTTTCTTCTCTCTCATATACTGTATTCTTTCTCATATCTCTCTCTCTCTCTCTCTCTCTCTCTCTCTCTCTCTCTCTCTCTCTCTTCTTTTCCCCTTAATTAATATTTTTTTAAGAAATTTTCCTTTTTTTAATGTATTCCTTTCTTAAAATAAGCATATGTATTCTATATATTTCTTCCTGTTTATTGTTCTTCGATCATCTCCTAGGGAGCATAGTTTAAGCCAAACAGAAATATTCATAAATATATAAAATAACCTAATTCCAACTAGTATTGAGATTCGTGGACGAAATGTCAGGCCAAATTACGACACTTTAGCCAAATCAGCCGTGAAAAATTTTAATTGCTAATGCCCCGTAGTCTATCCCGGAACTGCTAACGCTGCGCTAAAACTAATCGGACACACTCGGCCACCGCGTTCCCCGGTAATGTATTAATTTATAATAATGCAATTTTAATGTCATTAGTGAAAAGAGAAATTACTTGCTTTTATCGCACTGGTCCCCTTGGCTTCTATACTTACTTGCAGTCAGAATTAGTCAGTCATAGATTTGCATCTTGAAAAATATTATCTAGTACAAAAGTTTAAATTTTTTAATCGATTTGCACATAATTTATAACAGATTTATCATTGTTTCTGAGGTTGCCGCTATTTTAAGCCTTTGACGGCTGACTTGTAAATGCATGCTCGTGCACGCGCACCTGCGCGTTCAAGTAAGCTTTACGCGTGACTTTCCACTCCTAGGTGGTACGTCATTAATCGCTTTTTATATAAGTTACAAATATTTTTTGTATTGTTGTAATTTATCTTTTTTGATTCTCAGATTCAAGGGAAATCAGTACTTGGGAGTTTTTTATTAAATGCCAGTTGGGCAAGGTATTAAAAACCATTTTAGCACATTTCCCTTCGAGTTTTGAGTTATGATCGAAAAGGATTAGTTTTCAATTGTCGATTAGTGAGTTTGCGTGTCTTAATTTCGCACGTGTGCTCCTCTTGCCTTCCTGGCTACGCCTGTAAGCGTGTCAGTGAATATTACGGTTTTTTTCTATTGGTTTTAAATCCTTTAAAATTACATTCGTTTTATACAAAAATACAGTTGATACAATTTTTTTAAATAAAATTATTTAAATTCTTATAAATTATTAGCATCTTACAGTCAACTAAGGTATCTATGCAAAGGTAAATCACATTTGTTTAAATAACAAACTGGATTTTTTAAATTTATCTTTTCCGACTCACTTTCATTTAGTATTAAAATAAAACTTTTTCCGTCTTTCGAAAGTGAAGGTTAATAGAAACGTCCAATGATTTTTTTCAACTTTTTAAATGTCTACTGCTTTAAATCATACAAAGGTATAAAACCAAATAAAAAGAACTACGTTTGAAAGAGGTAAGTAAATAGTATTTTCAAAACAAGATAAGAAAGAAAAGATAAGTGGATTTCTAAAAAAAATATATATATAACTTTTAGAAAGCATTCCGATAAAAAAAAATAATAAAGGTAAGCTAAAAATACAAGAAGGAAACTGCTAGAATTGTGAAACATAAAAATAAAATAGTGTCGACATTGGAAAGAAAAATAATTTCGAAAGCAATAAAGCAGGCTTAAAGCTGATTTACCTTTTGAGATATTTGTTAATTTTTTTTACAGGGTGCTGGGAGTTTTGGTGGGATGGGAAAACCGGACGTAAGGCAAAAATTTGTTCGAAATGTTTTAAAACTGTGAAAATTTTATTTTTATTCAATTTTTACAGTTTTTCGTTTTAATAAAAACTGAGCTTTGCCCTTTCCCAAATGCCTTTCACCTAAATACGTTCAAAAACAATTTTTGCCTTGACGTGGGTTTCGTAGTATTATCTTCGTATTTTGAGGTAAACCAATCACAAAAAATTCCATTTTTTTCAAAATTTTTGAAAAACATTCGGCGTTTTTATTAATAAATTTTTATCCAGTAATCATATAAAATCTTTACAATAAAAAATGTCCAAACAATCATATATTTTAAATGCGTAACTTGCAAAATAAAACCTTCCTCCTCCTCCTCTTTACACAATTAAAGGGCAATAAAAACTCCACTAAGATACAAATTGGGAGAAATGTACAGGTGAAAGACAATTGGGTAGTGAGCGTCAAGGGTCAGCAATCAATAGATCAGACTCCTACAAATAAATCTAAGGGCAACACAATTCAAAAACTAAACTCAAGGGAGGGCAACTAAACTTAATAAAACAAAAACACAATAGGTAAAAGTCTTTCAGAGTACAAAAAGTTACACATTCGTAATTCGGTTTCTTAAATATATCAAAATACAATTTTTATTTTTGAAAAATAATTTTGAATTTTCATTTTATCTTTAATAAGCCAACTCTGACAATTTTTTTCTTTCCTGAGCCGAATTTTGTTTAAAAAATCACATTCTTTTTTTCGTTTAGGCCATTTTGTTTTGTTTAAATTTATATTTATTCAACTCATTTAGAATGTTTGAAACCTGTCCAGTTATACTCTGCTTCGGTGCATATGAAATGTCATAATAAATAATTTTCACTTTTTTTTAATGTGAACATTAAAAGGCACTCTTTAGGAATTTTTATTAAAAATTCATCAATGATTGATTAATTTAATTTAAAAAAATAATAAAGAAACAAAATAAATCAGCCAAGGATTGACATTTATACAGTTAGAAAAATGTATGTAATATTACGCAAACTTGAAGTGGCTTGGAATCAACGTGATTTATAAACTAACAAGAGTAAAATTACAAAATAATACTTTTCAGATAACAATAATAAACCGGGTAATAAACCCGTAATACCCAGTAGCAAATATCAAGTTAAGATTAATAATTACTTGAATGGGGAAAACTAAACGGCCTTGAAATTAAGAACAAAATTGATTGTACAGTCTAGTTATTCTCGGCGTGATAAAATACTGTAAGAAGATAGATTATAAATATATAAACTGACTGAATTAATTTTGATTGGATTAAAAATCGTAGTCACAGACTCGAAAGAAAAAAACATTATTTTTGGCACGACTGATGGTAAAAAGTCAAAATTTCAACGTTTCATATGCACCTGTATTCTACACTATAGTAAAAAAAGACCACGTCACAATTTTTTTGGCATGAGGACGTTTTTGAAAACTGGTCACGTGGTTGGCAAATTGTAGCCAGTAAAATAATTTACAAAGTCCCCTAGTCTACGACTTACAATGACTAGGATTACAATATACCGAACAAAAATAATATAAAAAAGGAAAACAATCCTTTATACACAATATACAAATCTATATTAAAATGGAGGGGCGCCCGGGGGTGGACGCCGCCCCTGAGATCATCGGTCAAGCATCACAGAATGCTTTGATGCGCGCGGTTCGCGCTCGAATTTATCAAAAAAAAAAAATCAAAAAAGATTATCGGCCAGCGCGAGCCACAGATTGCTTTCATGAAACCAATCCAAAAAATTGTATAAAGCTCTTATTTACAAGCACACCTTTCCCCTCGGGGAAATAAAAAAAAAATAACACACACAATTTACAGATAATGACATTAAAAAAATGCTAAGTATGACTAACACATAAAAACATATTTACAATTTATAACATATATATTTCTTTTTAAACTTATGAGTTTTTATATATATTTTTTAAGTAAATTGACTGCTTGTTCCAAATAGTTTTTCCCTTTAATAAATTTTCAATTAAAAATAAAAGACGGAGATTTTTTCATTATATTTACACTTCTGGTAGATAGGTATGCATCTAGTCATCACTGCTCTCTACCATGTTTATCAGAGATCATTTGAAAACCGTATCAGGGCTTCCGTTGACGGGGAAGCCGCTTTTAAGACAATAACTTATAAAAAATATACATTTATGGAACAAAACTCTGTACACTTAAATTTAACCCGGGGGACAACGTGGCCGTTGGGCTGAGATCAACGCGAAAGAATAAAAAAAAATATGATTAAGCGATCTTTGGAACGTTACTTCTTTAATTTCGCTTTCGCCCTAGCCTTACCGCCGCAACTCAAAATTTTTTACAAAGGGGAAGTATTCGAAAAACTTACAGGGGCACAAATCAGATTCACGCAGTGATTGATAACAATTTTAAAAGTCGATGAGCATGTATGCTGTTTTATTTTGTCCACTTATATGTGAAAAGTTAAGCGCTGAAACGGAATCGAATCCTCGGTTGAAACCCTTTTATTAATTCTGAAAGGTCCTTGAGCTATGTTATTGAACCCTCGCTCGATTCTTCGACGTCTTCGGATTCGCGAAACGTTGGAAAAATCGGGCATTTTGGAAATCCGGAAAATTGAAAATTGCCCCTATGTAGTAATCCCGAGGATGTCTTTGAGTGGTGGCGGTAACAATCTAGGCGCGTGTATTACACAAAAAAAGTAAATTTCTAAATCTGCGATATATAAGTTTTATTCCCTTTTATGTTCATAATATAACTATTTTGAAGAAAAATTAAATCAGTAGTAATAAGTAGATAAAAAATATTTTAAAAAATACCTAATAAAATGACAACTACTTAAAAACTTGTCTCCCATTTTTTTAAAATATAGGTTTGCGTTTATGTGAATGTCCTCTTTGTGTTTTTCTGTCAGTGGGCGAGTTCTTCACCTTTGCCTTGTGAGTATCCTCCATCCGACGAGAATGATGACAGTGGTCCATATAGAACCAGGGAGCGGCGTCGGTAGGAGAAGGGAGAAGAAGCTGGACGTCTTCGATTCCCTGCGCCTTTTCTTCGTCTGTCCGACGGACTGTAACATAGATTTGACAATTAGGATCTCCGACCGGGTGCCAGGGTCGTCGCGAATCTCCGGGTCGCCTGTTTACCTGATAGGTGTGCTCCTCGACATGCCTCAGCTCTATGCCGAGACTGAGCGTGTGCTGCTGAGGCATTTCCTGGGGGTGTTTCTCCTGTCTCCTTCGTCGCCTCCTGGGTGCTGCGGGGGCTTTTCGTGCCCTCAAGACCGCTTCGGGGAGGACGAGGATTACCGGCCCTTCAGGCCTCGGGTTCTCGGGTTCTGCAACAAAAATCCCTTGAAGAGACCCCGACTAGAAATCTTTACGCGTTGAAGGTCCAAATTTTTCGAACCAAAAAACACTGTTTTCAAATCTTAAAAACTCGATTAAAAAACTTCAATAACAACCCGGTAAAAATCGTTTTTGATGAAACGCGACTGAGAAGAAAAACACTGTCGTATATCATGATTATTAGATGATGGAAACACCTTGTAAAACTTTTCAATCCTTTTCACGAAGGACATTTAAATTCAGGGACACCGTTGGAACCGAACACTCATGTTTTATCTCGAACCCGTTCATAATAATATATAATTTTTTTTCAACTTACGTAAATTGGAAATTTCTGGTTGTATAAATTGACGTATAAACTCGCAGATGGGTATCCGAATGACCCTGCGTTCTTCTGCTTCCTCCTCAGGCACGTTGAATGGTACGGCCATCACTAAAGATTTCACAATCACACTTTGCTCACTCGATCTCTCTCTCGCGTGTTCACTGCACGGGCTTCAGAGCTAATCTGGCTGTGAGGTCCACTCGGCTACCCCGTTTAGGAGCTACTGTGCTACGCCGACTCGACTCTGGATCCTCCAATGGGCACCTCTCCCTCCCGTCCCCACTTCTTCCCCCACCCGGGGCGCCCCCTCCCAAAGGGTATAATTTTTATCTCGACCCTGATATTACCCCGAGAACCTGTTACTTCTTCCCCCGGCTGGCTTCCAGGAGATTTCGACCTGCTAATTCTGCACTGGCTCCGGGGCGAAGATGCAAACACGAAGGGACGACTTTCCTTTTCTTTATACTACACCCGAAAACAGGCACGAAAGTTGGGCAGATAAAATAATCATAACATTACATAAAACAACGATGCACTGATAATGTAACATCATGTAAAAATATAATACATAGATAAAATGCGTCATGACATTCCGGCCCTTTTCACCACAAGATGGTCAAAACGGGAAAACGTTCTGATCACATATAAAATGACAAATCGAACCACATTATATACAGGGTGTTCAGCTACTCGAGTTCCAAACTTTGCCGGTAGTTTCTAAATAAAAAATGGTACCAATAACTCCTTGACTTTGGTTCGAATCTCACGAGATTCGGAGTTATTCCATTTTTTCTGATTTTTAATATTTCACGACCTTCATTCAAATAAGCTATGATAACTCCAAAACTAAAAAGTTTTAGACAAATCCGTTGATACCATTGAAAACTGCGTTAAGATGTGATCAATACTAAACTTGTAAACGTTGGTGACGAAAGCGGTTTAGTTTAAAAAAAAAAAAATTTTTCAAATTGGAAAAAACTTACTATGGTGATTCTAAGCTACTATTTCCAAACTTAGGGACCAGCGAATTTCAGAAAACGTACGTTAATATTCTTTTTCGAGGTGTAATTGCTTTTTTAATTACTTTTTTCCGAGATCAAGGGATTGATAAAGGAAACGAAAAAACAGCGTGGTTGACAGAATGGTAACGTGTAAAGATAAAAACAAAACTTAATGAAATTTTGAATGAATTTATTAAACGTTATTTAATTTGGGTTCAAAAACGAAATAGTGCAAGTCTTTACTTATTTATTTAGAAATCGTGAGATGCGGTCTGGTGTGATGTAGGTTTCAGAAAAGCATTTTCTTTATCGTGCCAACGTTTCGATCTTTATTGAAATCATCTTCAGGGCTCAAAGTGTTTGTCTTCTGTGTAATTGTGCCATCACTCTCGACCCGACACGCAAGAATGGCACAATTACACAGAAGACAAACACTTTGAGCCCTGAAGATGATCTCAACAAAGATCGAAACGTTGGCACGATAAAGAAAATGGTTTTCTGAAACCTACATCACACCAGACCGCATCTCACGATTTCTAAATAAATATCGATTGACGGTCACTAATTACCACACATTTTTACTTATTTATTTACCAACACGAAAATATCTTTGATTAAAGGATTATTGAATTATTACTCCCAAAAATAAAATAATTTTAAGATTCAAAACGTTTTCAGTTATCTAAGTGATATGTTGTTAATACTATGGCTACTTTTTCATATGTTTTAATCTTTTATTTTTACTTAAACTTAAAAGTAAACTAGATCAAGCATGAATATATCGAGTATTTTTTACGTACGCTTCTTATATATGCATTTCTATTTTAATTTGAGATAAAAGGTCTTTATCTTCAGTGATACTGATTATTTTTTGCTTGTTACTTGAGTGTATATATATACAGGGTGTATCAACTTCTATAGTCCACCCATTTAATTCGGAAACGATTAACTTTGGCAAAAAATGGTCTTTTACAAACCCCCAAGTTAATTTTGGCTAGGAATCGCGTGGTGGTAACAGATTTAACATAATTTGCTGAACTAGCTGGGAAATGACACTAACTTTGTTATTTTAATCAAGAATCACATATTTTTATTGTGTAATTCGATTCTAGAGCTTATTTTATGCCTCTTTTACTGAATGGAAACTTTTGATAGGATTGACCATTTTTGAGTTATGCCCGACGGAAACCGCGTGTATGCTTTTTGTAACAAGATGGCCCTTTCAGTTTATTTCGAAAACGATTACCATTGGCAAGTCAATTTAGGATAGCAATCGTCCATAGGAATCATGGGGTTGCTTTTATGCTTAGCTTATTTTAATTAAAAAAAAAAAAAAACTGTCAGCATCAACAAAAGCAACAAGCCTATCTCTCTTCTCTGTGATTACATACAATTTGTTTGAAAGCAAAACATGAAAAATGAATACTCAGGTATACATCATTGTGCAATAGAATTCAAATGATTTCAAAAGTATTAACTTCGAGAAAATAAAAAATAAAATAAAAAAATACAATAAGAGAGGTCATTGGCATTCGAAATTTAACTAGACGGAACAGGACATTGACATTTTTAAATACATACTTACAATTAGATTAAAAAAATGCCAAAACAAAATGGAAGATACCATAACTCTGTCAAAACAAATAAGAACATATTTTGTTATTGCAAAAGAAACAAAAATCGGGCGTAACTCAGAAATGGTTCAGTTCTCAGAACCTATAAAAATTTTCCTTTCAGTAAAAGTGGCATAAAAAAAGATCTAGAATCGAATCGTACAATAAAAATAAGGGGTTCTTATTTAAAATAACAAAGAATGTTATTTTCGAGCTAGATGAGAAAGCTAAGTTAATCTGTTACCACCGCGAGATTCCTTGCCAAAATTAACTTTGGGTGAGTATAAGGCCACTTTTTGCTAAAGTTAATCGTAGCGGAATTAAATGGGTGGACTAAAGTAGTTGATAAACCCTGCAACAAGCCAAAAATAATTAGTAATATCACTGAAGTGGTTGTCCTCCGTATAAAGGAAGCGTATGTAAAAAGTAATCGTAATAATCATGCTTTATCTCTCTTCCGATATTAAAGACTTAAAGGTGTGTCCAGACATGCAACAGCATAAAGCAACTAGACATCGTGACACATCGAAACAGGGCGCGTCGTGTCACATACTATGTTCGTACCGACTGACTACTTGCGAATTTATCCAGTCCTTGATAATGCAATCGGTTTTCAGACACTGGAAACAGACTACTTTAATAAAATTAAAAGAAGAGAATCATTTTTGATGTCTGCTGTCTCTCTATGAATGTATGTTTTTTACCATTTCTTTTTCTCATACTTTTTTTCTCTAACATTATCGCCCTCTTCATTTATCACTCTCTCCTCTCTCTTACTCACTCCCCTCGCTCTGTTTCTCTAGAGCTCTCTTTTTTTTCTCGCTCTCTTTCTCTCGCACATAGAAACTGTGTTTATCAGATGCATACTGCAATGGCAGACCAAAATGATCAAAAACTACCACCAAACTATAAAATTAACACAGTTTAAGTGAAGCACGATAAAAGTATATCATTAAAATATGCTTTATAAACTATACAAGTAACAAATGCTACATATTATACAATTAAATTGAGACATTTGACCTTGAAGATTTGCTGGGGTGACGGACGAGTTAGTTTTCTGACCTGTTCTTGGTGTTCTCGGCATTTTGCCTCCTTCAGTGGTTGGTTTTGTGAGATTTTCGGGTTCTTTTTATATGTACGTGAAGGTCAAAATAGTCTGTCGGAGATATCTTTGTCGGCGTCTTTGACAGTTAAAGTTTTTTCGTATTTTGTTCCAGTTCATGTTGTTCGGACATATATTTGCAATCATATCAATTGATAGTTGTCTTAGTGATTGATTTCAAGTTTAATTAATTTTTGTTTTTTTAATTTCCGTTGATCAACGTTATCTTATTGATGTTTCGTTCAATTACAATAAAAAGTTTTGATCTACCTGGTCCGCTATGTCTCGCTATGTTGTTCTCTACCATTTTCCTCCAAACGTACTAGGAAAAAAAAATGACAGTTAACTGTTATTTAAATTGTGCCTTTATTAAAATAAAATATTATTTTGATGGATTGCTCAGTTAGTACATTAAATGTTATTCAATTTTTTACCTGTTTTTTATAACAACAATTTAAACGTCAGCGATTCTATATTGAGAAAAATTGATTATTTGTAAATCATTTATCATTTTTCTTATCTTCTGACATTTGATTGTGTTAAGAAACCTCAAATGTTTTTTTCTTTTTAAAGAAAAATCTTGATTGTAGTACAACCAGTAAATTAATATCCTTTTGTTTCTATTTCATGGTTTGTTTTAAATTTAAAGAAAAATATCTTCGTCGTTATAATTTCAAGGGCTTAAACCGCGCTCAATTTGCTTTTAAGATTGTCAAAATAAATAAATAAACAACGAATTCTAATACATATTTTGGAAAGTTATTCGGACACGAGTGTCTCTTGCAAAACTAAACTTGAAGTCTTATTAATTCTCAAACGAGTCCTTGAGATGTTATTGAACTTGGATTTGGAATCCGGGATTGCACAAGGTGACTTCCAACCCACTCGAACGGATTTAAACTAAGCGGTACTTTATCCGCAAAACAAAACGGGACTTAACAAATGACCTCAAAGGGGTCATAGCACGTAACATTAACATTATTTATCAGATATTATAGACGTTTAATTTGGAAATTTTGATTGTTCAAATTTAGGCCTAATTTAGACGCCATCCGGAGGCGGCCCAGGACGAATTATTGGCGCTTTTCGTGGGAAATTTGTGCCTAATCGGGCCTGAATACGTTATTAGTGCCAGGTGCTGTAATAAAAAGAGTAATAAATGATGTGTCAAAGACCAGAGCCTTGTCACCCTTCCCTCAGCTCGACTATTAGGAAAAAACACCGAGGGGAGATCTCGAGACAGAAATATTTTTTATTGTTCCTATTAATAAAAAATGTTTGAGTCTAAGTGCTAGACGTTACTTTGTAAACATGACATGTATTTTATGAGTATACTTAGCCTTTTATCCAATTTAATTAAATTGTAACGCATGAATTTGGGGAAATCTAAATTTCAAAGAAATATGTGTTATTTTAGTATTATACAATAACAGATTTACACGATAAAATATAGATTTTGTACTTTATTGCTTAAATAAAATGTACCGTTAAGTTTATAAATTGCTCACCAATTAGTACTCAATAAACTCCC